AATATTAATTTAACATACAATATAATAAAATTGGATGATAAGGATTATTATCAACTGCATAAATTAATCAAAAATTAACATCATTTGTACTTGATTTTTTTATGAAGTGTTACTGATAAAAATAAGATCTGTTAATTTTTTGTGTGTTTTATCTATTTCTTTTTTTATATTTTTATTATTAAATGTTGCTTATATTAATAATAATATAAATAATAATATAAAATATTGTGTATGTGCATGCGTGCTTGCGTATATGAGTGTGTGTGTATGTACTAAAATAAAAAACGGAGGATTTAAATCGTTACGCATTCGGCAATTATCCCCTAATATTCTTAACTGTTTCTTAATTGAAAAATTAGAAAATTACATTCTTTTACTAAACTAATTATAATCATCTTATAAGAATTGGACTCTTTAATTGGCTTCATTACATTTATCCATTATGCTTAAAATATCATAAATTCAATCATATCACATGTATGAATTTTCAAAATTTAATATATCTTATAACATAGCTTATTAAATGATGATATTGTTTTTGCATTGTGTAGAAACAAACATATTGTTGTTTCAGGTAATTAAAACTTCTGTGGTATATTTAAATCTCTTAAGAACAATGACTCTGTGAAACATGGTAAAAACTGTTAAAATATATGTTAAGAAATATGCAAGATATGCACTATATAAAATAAATTAATATAATTTGAAAACAAAATTTATTAAATAAAATCGATGATTATGTTAAAATTGCAAGTGATTATAAGTAATTAAATTGTTTTTAATGAGGTATACTAAATAATTTTTACATATTTCATGGTTATTATAATATATACGGTTATTATTATAATTTTTTTATTTAAAAATACGAATTTTTATATTCATCGAAATTATACATATCCTTTTTAACAATATAAGAAGCACATCTAATATATAATTAAATAAAAAACATAGCAGACATTAAAGCGCGTTCATTTTTATTTTATATTCTAATTTATATTCGTATAGTCCTTGTGATATGCAATATTATTCCAAATGTATGTACTAAACTTTATTGATCAGACACGCAACCATTCAGCAGTTGCATTATTACTCATCAAACTCTTTCGAAGGTTGGCAAAGGCGTTACTTCACAACTTTGGCACAATCAACTGACCCATTCGTGACAGTGCTTTGCGTGACTTTAGTGATCCGAATCATAAGTGTGTGGCAGGAAGTTGAATTGAAAAACAGGATGATTACAGTTTGCAATCGACTACCTTGTATTTTCTTAAATTATTATAACTGAATATGTATTAGTCATCTTGAAAATGGAAACATATTGGTAAAATTAAACATTTGATATTATAAAACATTTCAATATATAAATATGTTTCAGTACACATGAAAAATATTATGCGTAAAGTTTGATTTACTAAGTAAAGTTTAATTGGATATTATTATTTAAAAAATTTTTAATATATTTAAAATTATCTAAAAAAATCATGAATAATATAAATATATTAGTATTATAATATT